ATTCCAGCAGTGATTCCAGCATTGATTCCAGCAGTGATTCCAGCAGTGATTCCAGCATTGATTCCAGCAGTGACTCCAGCAGTGATTCCAGCAGTGATTCCAGCAGTGATTCCAGCAGATTCCAGCAGTGATTCCAGCATTGATTCCAGCAGTGATTCCAGCAGTGATTCCAGCAGTGATTCCAGCATTGACTCCAGCAGTGATTCCAGCATTGATTCCAGCATTGATTCCAGCATTGACTCCAGCAGTGATTCCAGCATTGATTCCAGCAGTGATTCCAGCAGTGACTCCTCCTGGCTGTCCCCACCTGCACTGCCCATCCAGCTGCTCTCCAGATGTGCCACTGCCCACGCCCCCATGGAAAACTAACCCCAGCAGAGCAGTTTTACCTCCATGGTGCATCTGTCCTGCTGTGAGGGACATTCCCAGGGTGGATCCTGCCAGGGATGGAGCAAAAAGGGAATGGGGGTGTCATGGATGTGGCACTCAGTGCTGTGGGCTGGGTGACAAGGTGGGGATCAGTCACAGGTTGAATTTGGTGATCCTGGAGGGCTTTTCCAGCCTCTGGGATTCTGCTGCTCTCAGCCCTGCAGGCAGGTTGGGCTCATCCATGGTGCCAAGGAGCTGCCTTGGCTGGAAGCTGTGGATGGGAACAGAAAGATAAACCTGGCCCAAAATTGTGACCCCTCTGCTCTGCCTTCAGCCCCTCTGCAGCAGCCGCTGAGGATGATGGTGGAACTCCTTCTCCTTGACCTAATCCCTAAAAAACCCCAAAATATCCAAGCTCAGAACCGATTTCTTCAAACCATGGGGGCAGGGGAGGAGCAGCCACCAGACAAACAAAAACCCCAAACCTCACCCAGCCCCAACAGACCCAACCTTTCCATGGCAGAAAGCATCTCATTCAAAGATTCCTCTTGAAAAATCACCCAGGAGTTCTTTCTTTCCACTTTTCCATAAACACATGGATATATCCAGACACTGCATTTGCAACCAGCAGGGACCATCCTGGCATCACCCACTCAGAGCAGGCACCACCAGCTGCTCCAGCACCACTGGCCTGGCACTGCTGCCACCTAAATTCAGATGCAAACTGAGGAAAGCAGCCAGACTTATCCAGGGAACAGAGACAGCTGGAATCTCGGGCCCAAAGGGCATTTCAGTGTCTGACTCCCATCCTTCTGCAGCTGGGACTGTTCCTCCTCATCCCAGCACTGCTGTCAGCTGGTTTGGGAAAACTGCAGTAATTGGCTCAATTCATTTTAAATCAGTTCTCGTTTGTGCAAGCAGCACTCGGGGAAAAGCAGCTTGGAGTTAATCACATCCTGATTTGGAGCATTGCAGGGATGAGGGGGAAATCTCAGTGAGGTGTTCTTGGTCTCTGCCCCACAGCCCTGGGCACAGACAGAAGCCCCAAAAAGGGGCAAACCAGGGTCCTGGCCCATTGCTGTTCCCCACAATCTCATCCTGTCCAGGGCTGATCTCTCCAGGCTGCAATGGCACTGCCTGAATTCCTCCCAGGACATTTTTATCCCATCAGTGTAGAAGGAGCAGCTCCACGCCAGAGGGTATGGCTCTGGCCATTTGTCTCTGCCAAAAGGAAAAACATCTCCTTGTCCAGCCACTCCAGCAGCTCTGGGAACAAGAAGATTAAAACCCTCAAACACTCCCCCCTTCCCTCTGTGCCATCACACACACAGGGCTGGGGGGTCCAAATCCCTCTCTGGGGTGCCCCTGATACCAGGGGGAAAATCTGCTGGGATTACAGCTTTGGAGAAGCCAGGATTGCCCTGGCAGTGCCAGGGGGACCTTGCACAACCTCAGCAGCCCAGGGAGACCCAGGCAGTGTTTGCCTCCCACCCAGGAGGGCTCAGGAGCCCCCACATTTGTGTCACTTCCCAGCACGGCCACGTTTGTGTCACATCCCCAGCCCGAATCCATCAGGGCTGCCTGTGTCACGTTAGCAGCAATAAAAGGATTCAAACAGCAATTCCTTACTTTTATGAACAAATGGCCCTGGCTGGATGATTCAGGCAGCATTCAATTCCCAGCCAGAAAGTGTCAGCAAAATCCCGGCCTCTCACATGGAGGTGGATAACTGCAAATGAAAGGAAGGAATTATTAGCACTTAATACTCGCTGGGTTTGCACTCCCCAGCGCTCCTCAAAGGGAGGTGCCAAACGCTGCGATGCTCCAGAGCTGGGAGGGCCCTGCCAAGGGGGGCTTTGGACACTGGGATCGTCCTCATCCCACTGCCAGGGCCCTGCCCCAGCCCAGCCCTGCCAGAACCCCTTGTCTCCTCCAGCCTGTCCCTTCCAGAACCCTTTAACCTCCAGCCCAGCCCCTCAAGAGCCCTTTTCTTCTCCAGACTGTCCTTTCCACAGTCCCCTTTCTCCTCCAATCCATCCTCTG